CCTAGGTCGAGATCATGTACATAAACACGCATTTTATTTCTGAGGGAGATTTTTCACAGTGGAAGCACTCATTTGGGAGACCCGTATAAGTGGCTTATTCACCTGGAGGAAGGCAGACTTGAGTTTCGAAAGGGTCGATGAGTAATTTCCAGTGGAGACCCGTCACAGAAGAAGACAGGCCCTGACAACCTCTGACTGAAGAAACAAAGCTGCTTCCCACCTCTTCCCGCACCCCCTCCTTCCCCAGCATCCTGTCCTCTTCCTCTGTTTCTCAACTTCTTTTCCCATCGCTGTGACTCACAAGTGTCAGCCACTGGAGCGGCTCCCCATCTCCCAGCCCTCAGAGATCTCATTGTGAGCCGTTTCTTCTCATCCCCATCCACTTAATGTTGGGCACTGATCCAGACATGATCCCCTTTTCCAAAGGCACCCCCTGAGGTGCAGCTTCCTGGCAGGCACCTTCCACAGGCAAAAATGATTTGCCTCTGAGGCCTGATGCGCCAGACGGACAATCTGAGGTTTATGGTTTTCCAGCAAGGGGTTTTGCAAAGCCTTGCCAATTCCCCTTTTGCCATTGGCCAATTCCCTTTCACTGGCTCTCCCTGCCTGTCATCTGCTTTGTCAGCCAAATCCCTTTTCATTTTTCTCAGCTTCATCTTGGACTCAGGCCTAGGAAGGCCTGTCAAGAAGATTCCTGACGTATGAAGCTTTATGACTCTTCCACCACCATCCCGGGAGAGGTACCATTTGTTCTTCACATCCAAAGATTTCAGAGGAGTGCATTCTCATGTCTTACGTAGAACATGTTTGACCAAAACACCAAATGAGTAACAGCACGCGTATTATTTTCAAACGCGAATTGAAATCAAAAGATGTAACAAAACGATGGAAATAGAATCCTCAAGAAAGATTTGGGGGAAGGGAGAAACAAGTGGAGGAAATACTAAAATAGAGAATGTCCTTGTACAAAACTGAAAAGGGAGAATGAATGAAAAATTATACCAGAAACGGTGCAGTTGTTTTAGACTCGGGATGCCTTGATTCTTGTCTGAATCCACTCGTCATCCAAGCCCTTCTTCCGAATGCTCTGGGCTTGTCCCAAACTCACTTGCCCCTTTCTCACCAAATTGCTCGTTATTTCTCAGCATGATCTCTCCGTGTTAGTGAAGTATCCTGCTTGCCGTTGCTCACACACTACTTGCTATATCCATCTGAGATGCTTGCCAAACGCAGTTCTCTTCCCATGGAATGGGCCTGGCACTGATTTGGTCTTTGTTTGTTTAATTGGACATTTGTTGAGGCTTACTAGGTGCTTTCATAACAACCCTATGAGATAGGCATCGTTACTGTCCCCATTTGAAAATAAGAACACAGGAGGAAACGAGCTGAGGAACTTTAAGCCACTGGCTCAAGGACTGTTACTGAGTGACAGGGGCAGCATTCTAACTCAGGTATGTCTGACCACAGAGCCCAAGCTCTGGGCCACGGCACTCTCAGCATCAGTTTGGGGATAGAAATGATGGCCACCCAGCTGGCCTCTGAAAATACAACTCTTAAGCCCACTGCCGTTCAGATCAGCAGGAAAACCAATCTCTTTTCTTTGCTGTGCCCCTCCAGCAGAAACTGATACCTTTGCAGCTGTTTCTATGGAAGCTGGAAGCAGCTGAAGCCAAGGGGGTCTGCAAAGAGTCTCTCCTAGCACAACCAAGAGTGCTTCCTGGTGGTGGCATGGCTGGGCTCTGCTTCCCATCCCCCATGATTCAACGAAGAGCCTTCTTCAGGGATCAGCTGCAACAGTTCTTCAGGAAGAAAAGAGGATAATCCCTCACCCTCCACCCTTTGGTGCTACTCTCAGGCAAGAGGTTTCCACATCAACCCTGGCCTGACTCGCAGTGAAACTGGCTTAGATTGATTCACTGTCACATCCTGAGGCTCCAGTCAGCCCTGTGGAGAACAGGTTCCTGGGCTGTTCTCCTTTCAACCAGCTGGCTCATAGCAGGACCCAGCCCCTCCCTCTTGTCTCATTTTTCCCTCCAAGTAGTTTTGTTTCAGGGACTTCCCTGCCTTTCTTGTTCCTGGGTGGTGACAAGGGTCACCTGCTAACCCTTCGTTCACCTCAAGAGATTTCAGTCACTTTGAATCACAGGGAAGAGGGGCTGGGGCTTTGGTCCTTTCCCTCACAGAAGATCCCTGAAGTTCTCAGGCAAATTTGCTCCCACCACTCTCCGATGAGTTCAAGGACCTTTCAACAATCTTTTTTTTTTTTTTTTTTTAATCAAGCTTCACCTCACCCTGCTACAGCCAAAACTCGTCTCAGGGGAAACTACTTCACTGTTCATTTGCTTCTGCCACTTAGCTCTTCAATTAATTTGGGCCCTACCAGTAGCTTAAAGTTTGTGAGCTCCTCCACGGCTGTTAGTACTCCTCAGAGCCCAATAACTGGTGGTTCACTGACTAGGGCCCTGGAACAGTCTCTCTGTTCCTTTTGTCCCTTTTTCTTTTCTTAGCAATGTTGGGAGCAAGGATGAGTCTGTTATTGGCAAGGCTGTTTGGACTCTTCAAAGGAGAGATGTCAAAGGCAAGATCCTGTGGGGGTTATAATTATTTTATTCTCAACCATCCTGTCCCAGACCTCTCATATGTAATATTATAATGTAGCTGAGTCATATTTCCAACTATTTTATCTTCATCTGCATCCCCAAGGGACATAGGGAGCATAGACTGAAGACTCGGGATGAGCCTGGGAAGATTCAGGGGCTTTAAAAGGAGCTGATTAGCAGAGCATTTGCAAGAGATTCTTTTCCCCTCTCTGCTCTTTTTTCAGCTGATCCCAGTTGCCCTCAGAAAGCCAGCCAGCTCCCAGCCTCCTGGCCCAGCTGCTGCCCCTGCCTGGGTAAGTAGGGGCACTGTATCAGGGAGGGGTATATACTATTTCTCTCTAACCTCTGCATTCATCCTGCTTGATTACCATTATCCACCATGGTAGGTATTGCATTGCCAAGGCTAGAATGTATGAAGACATTCTTTCCCTGTTGGGTATACTATATTTTGAAAAAAATGAACTGTCAGGAGGAAGCACAGATAATAAAAGTTCTTTCTTTCTTTTTTTTTTTTTTTTTAAGATTTTATTTATTTATTTGAGAGAGAGAGAATGAGAGACAGCATGAGAGGGAGGAGGGTCAGAGGGAGAAGCAGACTCCCTGCCGAGCAGGGAGCCCGATGTGGGACTCGATCCCAGGACTCCAGGATCATGACCTGAGCCGAAGGCAGTCGCTTAACCAACTGAGCCACCCAGGCGCCCAAAAATTATTTATTTCTTAACTAACTTCTGTTAGTTAAGCCAGACACTTTACATACAGCGTCTTATTTAATCCTCACAAAAACACTGCAAAGGAGATTTTATTCCATTTCTCTATTTAGGAAATTAAGGATGAGCAAGGATCTTTGACATGGGCAATAGCAAATTTTTCTAGGTATGTATCCTGAGGCAAGGGAAATAAAAGCAAAAACATTGAGACTACATCAAAATGAAAAGTTTCTACACAGCGAAGGAAAAAACGAAACTAAAAGGCAACCTACTGAATGGGAGAAGATACTTGCAAATGGCATAGCCAATAAAGGGTTAGTATCCAAGATATATAAAGAATTGATACAACTCAACACCCAAAAAAACAAATAATCCAATTAAAAAGTGGGCGGAGGACATAAACAGACATTTCTCCAAAGAAGACATACAGATGGCAAACAGACACATGAAAAATGCTCAACATCACTTATCATCAGGGAAACACAAATCAAAATCCCATTGAGATATCACCTCATACCTGTCAGAATGGCTAAAATAAAAAACACAGAAACAACAAGTGTTGACAAGGATGTGGAGAAAAAGGAACCCTTGTGCACTGTTGGTGGGAATGCATACTGGTGCAGCCACTCTGGAAAATAGTATGGAGATTCCTCAAAAAGTTAAAATAGAACTATCCTATGATCTAGTAACTGCATTAATGGGTATTTACCCAAAACTATAAAAACACTAATTCAAAGGGATACACACACCCCTATGTGTATAGCAGCATTATTTACAATAGCCAAATTATGGAAGCAGCCCTGGTGTCCAAAGATAGATGAATGGATAAAGAAGATGTGAGATATATATATATATATATATATATATATATATAAAATGGAATCTTATTCAGCCATAAAAAGAATGAAATCTTGCCATTTCCAATGGCATGGATGGAGCTAGAGAGTATAATGCTAAGTGAAATAAGTCAGTCAGAGAAAGACAAATACCATATGATTTCACTCGTATGTGGAATTTAAGAAACAAAACAAAGGACCAAAAGAAAATAAAAAGAGAGACAAGCAGACTCTTAGGATTCTTTCTTAAGAAACAGACTCTTAACTATAGGGAACAAAGTGACAGTTACCAGAGGGGAGATGGGTGGGGGGATGGGTGAAACAGGTGATGGGGATTAAGGAGGGCACTTGTCATGATGAGCACTGGGTGATGTACTGAACTGCTGAATCACTATATTGTACATCTGAAACTAATGTAACACTTTTGTGTTAACTATACTGGAATTAAAATTAAAACTGAAAAAAAAATTTAAAAAGAAATTTTGTAAAAAGGGTGAACAAGGAGCACCTAGTAAATACATTAGCTAGCGAACAGTGGAGCAGGAATTTGAATCTGAAGCCCCATGATCTTCCCACTGTTTGACTCTCCCTAGTAGGTGGTGGCCTCTCACCTGAGCTATGGCCTTCCCTTGAGGGAGTTGGCCAAGGCAAAATCAGCAGACTTCTCTATTTGATTATTCTTTTTCGAAAATATAAAAGAAGATAAACCTAAGTATTATATAATATTACAATTATCACTTCAATGGATGACTAATTTTAAAACAAAACAAAATACTTCCCAATATCATTAAATTCACTCAATTTGTGTAAGTATGATAACATCTCACATTTTAATAAATCCTGAATTTCCAACTCACTTTCAGATTTTCAGTTTGGAACCTCCTCCAGTTTCTCCTCATCGCTAGAATGTTCTGCAGCTTTGGTATCACCATCACACTGTTCGAATCCCTTTAGGAGTTCTTCTAAGGTAGTTAAAGGCAAGACTACTGTGGGCTCAAAGCCTGACTCCTCACCTATTGAGGGTAAATCACCTAATTGGAATATTGTCAGGATTAAATGAGTTATTGAATTCAAAGTATCTAGATAGAAAGATTTCAGTTAATTGTGACTATTATTATTAATGTTTTCAACTGTCCTAGAAAAAGACATGCATCTGTGACTGCCTTCTAGTATTGTTGTTCAGCTGGCAGAAGACAACCCTGCTTCATCCACTTGAGGGGCTATGTGGAACTGGGAGGACAGTTGCACAGTCCTGTTTTTGGGCAGAGGACAAAATAGTGTGGACAACTAGATACTCCTTGGCATTGTAATGAGATAGGGCTCAAAGGAGAGGGAGACTCTTTTGATCCATCTCTGTCTTTTATAATAACAGTTATCTTGTTATAATAAAAAAGGTTCAAAATACTAGAGAGGAGAAGCATTTCTAATTTCAGCAGCATGGTTCCAATCCTGGAAAGAAAATCGCACCTTGGAAGAAAATAAAAATATTAGTAGTATTTATCTCTGGATAGTAAGACTACTATAAATAGTTTTATTTAGTTTTGGGGGGCACTTCTTCATGATTTCCCAAATTTTGGGGAGTGATTAAGCCACTCATTTTGTGGGAGTTTATTACTTTCACAATGAAAAAGTTTTTAAAAAATGAAGTTACGGGAATTGTATAAATTGATACCCAAGGCTCCTTCCAGCTTGTCTGTTCTCTGTCAACATTTATTTTTATGACAGCCTTTAGGTTCCCCCATCATTTTCTTTTGGATACACTAATGAGATGCCAAACTTAATGCTTGTCCTGGTAAGCCTAATTTCAGGAGCAAAAACTCATTTCTTTACTTCTCTTCTGACATTGTGCCTCTGGCTGAGATTAAAGTGGGAGAAACTGGACAAATTTAGAAAAAAGCAATAGAGTTTATTATAAATAACACCCAAAAGAAGCACAGTAGTAATCAGCTCTAGTCCAGGAAACCTAACATTACTTGTTTGGGTTGAAGCTACCCAAGTGAATCAATCTAATATCATTCCACTTTGTAACATTTTGCTCAAACACTTAATCCTTCCTAGAAACCACTGCATTCTCTTAAATGTCTCTATCTAATATTTTAAGGACTTGTCAGCCTGCAGAACTCTTCTAAATCCTAGTAAGACAAACTGAAGTTTTAGGTTGAATAATGAGCTCAAAAGACATTAGAACCTTCAGGATCAAATGAGAAGCTAATGGAAGACTTTAAAACAATCATCCCTTCTCATTGCATTTAGGTTTTTTTTTCCTACACATAATTTAGAATGTTCCTTTTTAGAAAACATACCCAGAAATGCTTAGAATTAGTGACTGATTAAAAAATACTTCTCCAGAGGAGCAAGTCCATTATTTACCCAAATCATTACTGAATGATAAACAGGTGAGGTGAGAGAACTTACCATGAGTCATAGTGCCACCTAAGGAATAATTACAGTTAATATTTCTGTAGTGTAGACACTGGTCTAAGCACTTTACATGTAATTAAATCATTTGGTCCTTGCAACAACCCTGTGAGAAAAGACTTAGTTACCTTCATGTTACAGGGTAAGAAAAGAAGACCCAGATCGATTAAGGAAGTTGTTCAATGTCACATAATCAAGTGGTAGAACTAGGATTTGAACCTTAGGCAAGCTGGCTCTAGTCTATGTTCTTAACTACTAGGTTATGTTGCCTTGGCTTGATTGTCAGAGATAAAAGGGGGGCATCTGGACTACTGGACAGTGCCAGGGCTCTGCCACATGCCCAGCAGCATTACCACCGGCACCATCACCAGTGACAGCCTTAAATACTGTATACACATCCATGTCCCAATCACTGAACTATGAATGGTACCTTGTTTGGAAAAAGCGTCTTTGCAAATGGAATTAAATGAGGGATCTTGAGATGAGGAGATCACCCTAGATTAGAGAGTAGACTCTAAATTCAATAACAAGTATCCTTCTAAGAGAAAGGCAGAGGAAGATTTGAGACAGAAGAGAACACACAGAGAAGCAAAAGAGGGAACGTGACCGCATAGGTAGAGATTGGAGTGAAGTGGCCCCCAGTAAAGAAATGGCGACAATCCACTGGAAGCTAGAAGAAGCAGAGAACAGATTTCACCCAGAGCTCCCCAGGGGAAGAGAGGTCCTGCTGGATTTCAGACTTCTGGCCTCCAGAGCTGGGAGAGAATAAGTTCGTTATTTTAAGCCACTCATTTTGTGGGAGTTTATTACCGCAGCCTCAAGAAATGAATACAAATATATAGTGCTTTCCAGCTTTCAAAGTGCTTCGGTACATGTGATCTCATTTGATCCATATGCCCCTACACCTTAAAACAGTTCAGTTTGGTGAGCGAGCTCCACCATAAAGGACTGTGGGACCTTGGGCAAGTCACCAGCCTCTGTTCTCTACCCCTTTATTTGTAAAATGGGGCTTATAACAAGGCCTGCCCTGTGCCCCTCACAAGGTGTCATGAGGATCAAAGGGAAAGAACTCATGTGAATGTACTTTCTATACTGAAAAGTTGTCTTTGACTAGGAGCTATTTTTACTTACGAAGTCTTTGGGCGATGGCTCAACCACTGTCTGGATAAGGATGTGGGCGCTGTGAATTTACACCTGCTGGGGCACAGGTGTGCTACTGCCACCTCCTTCTCCAGAACCATCTGCAGTCCGAACCCTCTAGAGGCTGGGAGTGGGGAGACTGGGAATCACTGGGGAAGTAGGGCAGGGCCAGAAATTTGATAAGATGGAGCTCTGCTGTGAGTCCAGTCAGTGGGCGAACTGAAGATTAGTGTCATGCGGCTGGCTTCTCAAGAAACATCTGCTGTAAGAACAGAAAGGTGGCGAGCCCTGTTCCCCAAAAGCCCTTGCTCCCTGCATGATCAGAAGCCAGCGGTCACCCCAGAAGTTGTGAGCGGAAGTGCATTTTCCTGCTGACCTTTCATTCCTGAGCCTTTGGGTGATGATGGCTCTGAAAGGTGGTAATGAGTGCCAATCGAGGTGATGTTTTTGTGAAGCTGACACCTCTCCATTAGGAAATGGACTGCAGCCTGTGGACCAGCCACTCAAGCAGGGCACAAAATGCTACATAATCAATGCTTGGCCAAACCCTGCACAATTAGTGTCTTCCTCCAACCATGCTCTAGTGCACAATGGAAACCCTTGCAAGGATGGAAATATGGGAGCTACAGGGTTGAATGGCACCCTAAGCCTTGGAATAGAAATACAAACAATGACAAGGAAGAAGAAACACAATGGGAAAGAGAATAGGAATGGGGGTAGGGCAACTCGGGGTGCTCGTCCGGGACCAGAGTAAGCCCATGAGAAGAGAAGAGCATGTATTAAGTCAAAGGCACTACTCTAAATTCAGTACAAAGCAATTTCCTGATTTTTAATGAATTATGTCACTTGCATTCTGTCCAACTTCTTGCCTCCTGTTCTTCCACTCTTTATTCAGTCTCCACCGGTACCTAGAATTCTACTAAAACTTGGCATCATTAAGGAACAAAAGGTTCATCAGGTTATGACAGTATCCTCTAACTTTCCCCTCTTTTTTCTTTAGCCCCAACCAAACCTATCTCCGCATTTAATCACAAGAGATCTTTTAAAAGACAAGTCTTAATATGAAACTCTCCTGCCTAAAACCATCACTGGCTTGCTATTGCTATTGTATACTTAAGATAAAAACTAAGATCCTCAATACAACCCGTCACATGTTCCAGCTGCTGCTAACCTCCCTAAGGCAGCACTCCTGGTCACTTTGTCCTGTCCTTTGCACCTTCCTTGTCTGGCTCGGAGTCTTCAAACAAGTTATTCTATATGTACACATAGAAATATATGTGTGTGTGTATGTGTATATGTATGCATATGTAATGGAAAGAGACAACCAAGTTTGATATGTATCCAACCAAGTAAGAAGCTCTTTCCCCTGCACTGTGCCCAACCAATTCCCATTTCCGGTTCTTCTGACACCCAGTAAGGTCTGCCCAGATGCCTCCACCTCCCTTTTAATCGTGTTTTCTTTATTACTCTCTCTTATATAACACCATTCTTTCTCCTTTTTCTTAATAGCACTTGCCACAAATGATTTATATATATATAATATATATTTGATATATATTAATGTATATCAATACAAATATATATGTATATATTCATATATACTCAGATATATATATGAATATAAGTGTTATAAGTGAATATAAGTGTATATATACACATATATATATGTATGTGATCTTTGTTTTCCTTTTTGCTCTCCCACTAAATTGTTAGCTCAAAGAGGTAGGGACATACATACTTTGTTCCCTACAATAGCCAGATACTTTACCCCACCTGCAGACATTCTGAGATTCAGTCAGTCAGGAATGAGGGCGGGAGCGGTGTTGGTACTGGCAGTTTTTCAAAGTTCCTCAGGTGATTCTAGTGTGCAGCCAGGGCCGGGACTGTTTATCCACCCTTTTAAGAAGGAAGGAAAGGAAGCCCAGAGAGGTCATGTGACCTGTCCAAGGTCTAGCTGCTCTTAGCAGTGGCAATGAAGACTCAGTGGCGCCCTCTCTCTTTACACCCTATAATGTCCCTTCATTTAACTTGGAGAAGCTTTGTTAAAGAGAAAGATTCATTTTTTTGCAGTCTCGTAAAATCACTAACTTATACCCGTTTGCCTAGGATTTCTCTGGTTTTAGCACTTAAAGAAAGGGGAAATAATGCTTCACACACAGTTGTGAAGGTTAAATAAGCTAATGCTTGTAAAGCACTGAGCACAAAGCCTGGCGAGTTGTTAAGAGATCAATTGCTGTTAGCTTTTAAACTGTTACAGGAGTCTTTGGAAACAAAGCAACCAAGGTAGAAACACCCTTCCTTCCTTCCTTCCTTCCTCCCTCCTTCCCTTCCTTGCTTCCTTCCTCCTTTCCCTTCCCTTCCCTTCCCTCCTTCCTTTCTTCCTTCCTTCCTTCCTTCCTTCCTTCCTTCCTTCCTTCCTTCCTTCCTTCCTTCCTTCCTTCCTTCCTCCCTTCCT